GCTTTTGAGTATTTAACATCCGGCCTGTTACTCAAGCCCAGCTGGATCGAAATATATTCAGCCCAACAATGCACAAGTCCTGCCATTTGAAGGATTTACTGTAGAAGGAAAATTCTGATAGGAAGTTCTGTACAAGGCAGGTTTTATGTATGGAAAATTCGACAATGGAAAGAACTCTATTAGAAAAGAATGGCTATATAGAAAGAATTGGAGGGCAAGTAACGCAAGTCCTACCATAATTTCGTAATCTTTTGTATATAAATAGAGGCTAAGACCTCCAATAAAGGATCAAGCAATTCCACACTTCTCTATACATTATTCTTATTTATTTTTATTGTTTTTGAGTGAGTTGTTTTATTTTTCTCAATCATTATTGGTTGAGCGAAATTTTGCACCTACACTTCATACGTAAAAAAAATAAATGAAAATAAAAGTGAAATTTACCATTGCCCAAATGACCCCCCAATTACCAGAAAAGGGATCCTTCACTTTTTGGTTGCTAATCGCTATCAGTAAATCGACATGCGCTAGGTATAAACTTTGACTCCTCTCTCTCCTTTAGGTTAAGTGGCATATCATGTTCTTCTCCACTTAGATTGGGCTTAAGTTTATTAAAATAGTAAAAAAAAAAAAGTTACAAGTGGGCTAGCTCGAATGGGCTGTATTAAAAAGAAGTCAGATTAGGCTGTATTCTCTGCCACTCAGATTGGGTCTAAATTAATTTTAAAAAATAAAAAAATAAGTTACAACTTACAAGTGAGTGTATTAAAAAAAGTTGTATTTACATGGAGCCTTCACCAACTGAGCTGCAATTCATTTTATAAGTAAAATAATTTTCATAGTATATACATTATATAGGGCTTAAAAAAAAATTTGGGCCATGCCATTCTATTTGTATACTCACCCAATGACAATGTACAATTTCAAAAAAAGTTAGCTTGCTTATTTATAAAATTGCTGACAACGAGATAAAATGTTATATTTAATTGGGCCATATAAGTAAAATAATTTTCATAGTAGATATACAAAAAATTTGGACCATGCCATGCTATTTGTATACTCACCCAATGACAATGCACAATTTCAAAAAAAGTTAGCTTACCTACTTATAAAATTGCTGACAACGAGATAAAATGTTATATTTAATTGGGCCAGTATACCAATAATATGGCGTACACGGCGCACCCAATATATACTTGTTGTGGTGGTAGATTGCATTGCCAAGGAGAGTTTTAAAGTTATGGTAGATTGCCAAGGAGAGTTTTAAAGTTACGGAAATTTTTTTTTAGAGAAACCAAAGAAATTTTAAAGAGAGAAAAATGTAAGTAGAAAATTTACACAATTTTGTCCTTTCAAAGATTTTCAAATTACATAATTTATACGAGGAATTGGTCTAAAACCTTGTACCCTCTCTGGTTGCTTTTTAGGAGCTGTTTGACAGCCACGCTTTATATTTCTGCTTTGACAAGAAGCAGAAGTAATGTTCTGCTTTGAAATATGTTCAATATTATTTAGAAGTTTGTTTGGTAAGGTATATTTATTGCAAGATTTTTTAAAGTAAAAATATGAAAATATGTTTGGTAAAAAAATATTGCAAATTTGAAAAATTAAATATCTAGTTAAAAATGTCATTTTAGAGTTTATTTTTATTTTTTGGGTGAACAATGCTTTTACTACCATGCGGAAACAACCGAAACAATCAAATTTTTGCTTCTAATTTTGACCTTTTTTTCGGAAGCGCTTCGATATTATTCAAATCGCAACAAAAGTTACCTAACACTATTTGTGCTTTTGCTTTGCTACATGAAGCAGAAGCGGTTACCAAACAGAGCCTTAATTTTTTGTTAATCTATGACAAAAACAAAAACAAAAACATGAATAGAAGTGATTGCCAAACAGATCCTTAATTTTTGTTAATCTATGATTTATGTTGTAGTAATCGAAGTGATGACCTATCTGTTAGGTCTGTTGTCAAAGTTGAAAACGGTGATGGCCGGGGACAAGCCGGCCAAGCAGGCCCAAGCTTAAATGCCTAATAAGTGGGCATAAATGTATGGATATAACATACAATAAATGCTTTAGAAGGCTTGAAACAGGTGTGATTAATGATAGACAAAGACAGGTGAAAGATTTAACTGACTGCAATTTCCTAATTTCCTGAGCTTTTGAAATAAAATAAATAATTAAATAAATAAACAAATAATAAGGGGCTGGAGAAGAGAGAGATCTGGAGATGGTGGTGTTGTGGTGATAGATTGCAGAGGAGAGATTTAAAAGTCATGGAAAAATTAATTTTAGGGAGACCAAAGAAATTTTAAAGAGAGGAAAAGGTTTAAGTAGAAAATTTACATAATTTTGTCCTTTCAAAGATGGTCAAATTGGTCATTTAAAAGAAACATTTCATCCATGCAGAAGGTCATTACCAAAGGTTAGAGCATCTCCAGGGTCCATTATAATTTGATTACATGAAAAAAGTGAACTGAACTGTGACGTTTCCAATTTTCTATATTTTTTATTTTTCGAGTAATTCGTTGATACAAGGGTATTTCGGTCTTTTTATGTCTTGTGTACGGGTTTTTAGTTGGGTCCATTACATTTTGTGCATTTTAATTTATGTGGATTAGGTAATATTTTGTGTGTTGCATTATATAGGTGTGGTGTAGAAATTGGAGCAAAAGAAAAAGGGAAAAAAAATTCAAAAATGGTGGGACCCACATGCATGTTTTAAGCCTCATTTTCTTCCTTCTCTCACTTCACTCCCGCTGGAACCTCTCTCTCCCTTTCTAGAGTTTTCTTTTTTCTTTCTTTTGAGTTTCAATCTTTGAGACAAGATTTCTCTCTCAATTCTTGCCGAATTTAAGTGCCATTTGAGGCAAAACGAAGAGTACGATGAGCTCTACATACTAGTACCAGAAATTTCAGCTTTGGTACCCTCCTTAGATTTCGAAATTTGGAACCCATTTCAAAGGTTTTGTCCAATCTTGAGGTAGGGGTCCTTAATTCATAAAATCTTGTGCTTTAGTGAGTTGATCTACTTTATTTGTGTCTTAGAATGCTTAATTATGTTAATTATAGTTCAAATTGACTTGATTGAGATATATGAACATGTGAGAATATGTGTTAAATATGTTGTATGAAAAATATGCTTATATGATAACTATGAAACTATGTGGATTAAATGCTTTATGTAAAGAGCATGTTTATGTGTTGATTTTCATATGCCGAAAATGTTAGAATCTTGTTATATGCCGTTATGTGGTAAATCCTTTGGGAATTTTTGTGAACCATGCCTTGTTAGTTAAATTTGAACTAGCCGTGGGATTATGAGCATGGACATAGCATTGATGCATTCATACACTGGCATTGGGAATGAAAGGGAAGAAATCGTTTTGAAAAGAAAAAGAGAATTTTGGGAAAGTATTTTAATGAATCGGTTTTGTAAAAACCCGGTCGCCGTGGGGGTACTAAAGGGCCGGAAGATTAATATAGGCTAGAGGGAATTAGGGAGATTGCCCTAGCGTGGTTAAGCTAGCTGAGCCCCATAATGACTCCGCGGTGGTACCAAGGGTCAGGGACACTAGCCAATCCTTCTCTCGTGTCGCTGTAGGGTCACCAAAGGGCGGGTTATATTAACAGTTTACAAGTGATGGTTTGGGTTTTGAAAACGGAGAGCGACATCGGCATGCATTGCATTCCCATTGCATTATGTTACTTATGTGGAGATTGATTATTATATTGTGGTTTCCCTACATGGCCTGATCCCTATTCTCATTGTTCTATTCTATGTTTGGATTCACGGGGATACAAGAAGCGTGTCTTAAGTGCTACCTACTGAGCTTTATACTCACCCTATTATTTAATAATTTTTTTTTCAGGAAACAGGAAAGAAGTGACGGATGACTTTTCACTACAGCCCTAATTTGGATTAGAAGATTTCTTTTTGCTATTTTTGTATTAAGTCTCATATTTTTGTAAAATCTTAGTTTGTTATATTTGGTATAAAGATTTGTGAACTCTTAATATTGTAACTATATTTTGGGACTGTAATTATGATAATTTGGATTAATCGGTATGTAGATGTTCCACCATGAGATGAGCCATGTTGAGGTATAAGGAACGGATGGATGGGATGTTGGAGTATATTAATTGTATTATGTGTTGGGATAAGTTAGAGGTGTTTTGAAAGGCCAGGAAGAGCCATTGCGGTTTTTTTTTTTTTTTTGAGCAGGTGGTTGTAGTCCTTTTTTTAGGGGAGGTCATGCGAATTTTTTTTTAAAAAATGGTATCAGTTTAGGATCGTTTCATCAACTGAAGAAAAATTAATTTTACCTCATACTTAATCACTATAAATTTTAAATAACTTTGTGGAAATGAAAAGTTCGCAAATATGGGTAACGTAGATCTGACTCAAATTGTTTCTGCTTTTCACAAAATACACAAAACAAGTAGCACAATTTTTTTTAAATGGTTGCTCCTTTCATGCTCTGCATGTACTTTCAGCTTCACTTGCCACTCTCACGCTCCATTCGCGACCCTACTCTCTTGCCACTCTCACACTACATTCGCGACCCTACTCTCGCTCTACCTCCTATTCTCTGTAACTTAAATTTTGTCCTTTTTTCGTGCTCTCTCTAGCGTCATGTGATTTAAGAAATGAGTGTAAAACGATAAACTTGCCCATCTATATTATACTCGAGGATGAACTCACATTTTCATTGAAACCACAAACCATACACCCAAACCCAAATAACTAGAAACTGAATTCTTTTTGGAAATAATTCAAACACAAAGAAGATGTAGAGTTTGTCAACATCTAAGCATGAACCACACTATATGAACAATTGGAATTCAAAAGGAAATTTAACTACTAAGACCAGTCTTGTAGAGTAATCATGACCAAATAAGATACCAATTCTTGAAAATTTGTCCAAATGGTTGAAGTGAACTTGCAAGAATTGGTGATCTTGAAGAGTAATAATCATGTAAAGTCCAAAAGAAAATTGCACAAAACTAAGGACAATACTATCATTTAGAGTTCAAAAGCATATTGCATCAAACTTAAGGACAATATTCATCATTTAGAGTTCTCAAAAGCAAAATTGCACAAAACCCATCGACACAAAATAGTAGTATATTCAGTCAACTACAACAAGTTTCTTGTACTCCTCACCAGAGATGGCTAGTTCCATGACATCCTCAGGGTTCACAACCCCACCACCCTCCAAGAACATAGTCAGCAGATTCTTCGAAAAACCGCTCACCAGAGCCACCCCGCTCTGCCTCGCCACCACCGGTGTGGAAGACGAATTCCTAAGGTTCCAAAACACGATTTCCGGCACCTTACTATATCCTCTCTCTCCGAATTTCCTCTGTATGACTTGGTAATCTGTCTCCCAGCCATTCTCATTAGGTCCATCATCATCACCACACTCTGAATCACATTCATAACTCCTCACACCTGACGCTTGGTCAAATTCCATATCACTGAAAACAAACACCCTTTTAATCATCTGATCTTCATTCAGCTTTCCTTCAACTGCAACTTCCAATATCCTATCAAACACTTTCTGAAAGTCTGTGTTCATACCCCACTCCATTTTTCTCACAAACTCGGTCTTGGCCAAAAGGGTATTTCCCTCAACACTCTGAATTTCCGGGTCGGCACTGAATGTGATCAATTTGCCCTTCCATGGCTCTTCACTTAGCTCCGAAACCAACACACCAAGCGCCACGGACACCTCCATTGGAACTCCGGACATGCTTCCGGACACATCACATATCGCTATGCAATTCGTCAGCTTCCCCTTCTTCGACATGTCTTCCACCATTCTCTTCCACTGAAGCTCCGCCACTTCGCCACCGTCTTTGTCCCCCAACGAGACTATGATCTCGTGGGGGAGCAATGCTCCGGCAGCAATCTTCGCCTTCCCACTCTTCACATTTTCAAGGTATTCCTTGAACCGGTCTTCGTCGTGCTTCAAGAACAGCTCTTTGTAGGTTTTCATCGCCACCGAGGCCACCCGATTGTACTGAAGGGAGCCCCATTGCTTCGCACTCATGAACACCTCAGGCAATTCCAAGGCCTTGTGCAAAGGCACAAGCACTTGTTTTCTCATCCTATCTCTGACCCTATACACATAGTGTGCCTCCTCAATTCCCTGATATTGTGGGTCAGATTCTCTCGGAAAAAGCTTCCTCGCAATGCCTTCGCAGATCAGAGTGGACTTGTCGTACGACGAATCGACCGTCGGACACCATTTCGCCGCCAAACTGATCTGGTTCAGCTTGCCGGAGTTCAAATTCTCGATATCGGATTTCAAAAGATCGACAAACAGATCCGAAATCCGATCGTGCAAGAATCGGTAATTGGGGTCTTGATTGTACTTGTCTAGGGCTTTTTTGGCCTTCGCAGCTTCTCTCTCCTTCCTCAAAACCCTAGCAGTCTCTTTCTCTTTCGATCTCTCTGCATTCATCTCTTCCAAACTCCTCAAAATCCTTTCCCTCTTCTCTTCATTTCCCTTCTTGGGTCGATTCTCTCGCTTGAACATCCCTCCAGATTTCGATTTCGTTTTCGTTTTTCTCCACCTCTCGTCCTTCTCGATCTTTCTCACCTCGGGGCCTTCGAGAATTCGATAGAGGATCTCCAGAAGGTCCTTGAAATACCCGAATTCGACAAAAGCCCTAACGCTGGAAGCTAGGGTTTTGGGGTGGTGGTTATGGAGCCAAAACGCCGCCGTGTAGAACCCTTCCTTGTCGGACTTTCCCGTCCCTCTGACCCCTCTCAGGTTGCAGATCAGCTTCAGAGTGGTCAGAGGGTTGTGGCTCCAAGCCAATTGAAGCCGTTCGATCAGATCATCCGGTGGCGTGTCGGGCACCACGTGGAAGAAGAAGTCCAGGCATGGGTTGCCGGAGGACAGGTAGGTCGCAGAGAGGTTTTCCGTCAACCCCATCGGTGGTTCTCCGGCGTCATCAGTCTGACACGCCGATGGTTTCTCGGACAGATCAAGGCTGTGGGTTTGGGACACCAAAGACTCCATAGGGGTGTCTCCGGGAGGTGGCTGGGTTTGGATTTCCGGTGGGCCGAGAAGCTGACAAGTAGTGGCCATTTGTTTTGGGGTTTGTTGGTGTGATCAGTCTTCACGCCATTTTTATAGAAGGTGGTTACTGGGTACAGTAAATAGAGATTTAGATTCCGTGTATATCATGTGCACAGTATCGTTGTGAATTTTCTATCTAAGAATGACACGTGGTATATGTTTGACTAAATTCCATATTTAGACGTGATTGTTTGAAGATTATTGGGTTTGCATTTCAACTTGTGAAAATTCATACTATAGAGCATTAAAAATTTGAAAATAATAAAGTGAATATATATTTTTTTAAAGGTTTATGATTTTGTCTAAATAGTAAACAAATATTTTTTTTTGACATTTTATGATAAAATAATAGTGCACGATTTTTTCTAAAAAAGTTGTTTTTTTTTTTTTTTTTTTTCTTTTTTATGAAACGAGTTTTGTAAATTACTGCTTAGACCTTGATATTGAGTCAAAAGTGATGAATAATAATGAATTTCCACAGCATATTGGAACCTTCCTATGCGTCTTTTTTTGTCTTTTACTTTTACTTTTCTTTTCTTTTTTTTCACAGAAAATTAAAATAAAAAAAATTGTATGAATATGGAAGATATTTAGTATTTTACAAGTATGAGCAGCTAGCCCACAAGAGACAGCCCAAAATAGGCAAAGTCCAAGCCCATGGACCCAAACAGTTCAACAAAGAAAGAACCATAACAGCATTCAGCAAGAATTCTAAACTGTAAAGTTGATGTAAGCTTGGAAATTAGTTGGTGTAAGGGTACTTTGGGCCCCTGTTTTGGGTTGTTTTCCTTTTTCCTTCTTCGGTCTTTGGGCTTGTGGCCAGTATTATTGTAGTCCTTGGGCCCATGACAATTTTATTTTTAATTTTTGTACAAGGTGAGGAGGATGGGGAGAGTTGAAGCTGGGTTCCCACAAGATCGGGGGAGTATGTATATTTACTAACTGGGCTATCCAGCTCACCCTGGGCTGGTGGAAAAAAAAAACAAAAAACAAAAAAGGAGAACCAATAAGCTAACAACAAAATTGAAAAAGCCCATTTCCAATACATTGCAAACATAACAAAGAAAGTACTAAATTGTGAGATCATGAATTGTAGCTTGATGGACATCCAACACTTCCAACAGCCTTGCTACTCTATCAAGAGGCATGTGTGATCCACCATGGAGTCTAGAGTTTCTCTCATTCCAAATCCCCCACAAACATGCAACAAAAAGACTTTTCAGAACCTTGGAGTGAAGATACATCTGCTTGAACCACTGAATTAGATCTGAACCATATCAAATTTATTTGCCTCCCACTTCAGTACATCAATACAACAGGACCAGAATTGCCAAGCATATTCACAAGACACAAAGATGTGATCTCTTGTATCTACATCTTTCAGACAGTTGGAGCATCTAGAAGCCAGTTGTATCTTTCTTCTCTGCAAATTGACCATGGAAAGAAGCTTATCATGCAACACAATAACAACAAATACTAGACCAATCCACCTGTTCATGAGCAATCTTGCATGCACTCCATGCTCTCTTGAAAGAAAACTGTCCCTCCCAAAGTAATTTGTCTCCAGTCCTATGGATAAGCACTGAGCCGATATATATATTGTTTGAACTGTGTAAAGACTTCTTCCTGTAACATCAACAAGTTCCAGCTTCCATTTGCCATCAAAGAGTTGAGTGTAGCAGTCCTAGTTATTGAGAGACTCCTAACCACTCTGTGACCAAATCTTTGAACCACTGTCTGTCCATCACACCAAGGGTCCAAGAATGCATAGAAAGTTTGCCCTCCCCTAATACAGTAAGATACATGTTGAAGCATTATTTCTCTAATAGCCACAAGAGACCTCCAAATAACAGAAGAAGTAGCCTTAGGAATAACATTCCAATAGGTACAATTATAAGTATACTTCTGCTTAAACCGGCAACCCACAACCTATCCTTGCTAACTAAGAAGTCCCAGGCCAGCCTATATTTAGAGGCTGTTTGAACATCAACCATTTTTCTCAACCTTAGTCCTCCCTCAGCTTTAGGTCTGGTAATAAGATCCCAATTCATCAAATGAATTTTTGAGCATTGTCCTTGCTCCCCCAAGTAAAATCCCTGCAAATTTTCTGAATTTTATTGCAGGGTAAGTAATAATTCCCACACCAAAAATGGACCATTGGAGTCACCATTGCCTCCAAAAGCTCCACTCTACCTGCAGTAGATAGCAGCTTTGTGTTCCAGCTAAAAATCTTGCTAGAGACCTTATCAATTAATCCATGACAATGAGATTTCTTTAAACCATTTGGACACAAAGGCAGTCCTAAATATGTTATAGGGAAACTGTCTTCAGTACACTTCAAAACCTGTAACAGAGCTTGCTTTCTTCTAACAGCGTTGGAGAACACAATAGTACTCTTTTCATTGCTCACCTGCAGACCAGTGTTGTTTTCAAATTGTTTGAAAATGTCAGACATAGTTCTAGGGTTAGAAATAGAGGCTGTGCAAGCTACTAACAGATCATCTACAAAAAAATATGTGACTAATAGATGAGTGAACTTTATTCGCTGAATGGAGAAGTGATAATTCCCTCTTCTGCACAACACCTTGAATTATTTGAGATAAATGTTTTGTAACAAGTGTGAAAAGGAGAGGAGACAGAGGGCAGCCTTGTCTTAGACCCTTACCAGGTTGAAAGAAACATGTTGGAGACCCATTGATGAGAATAGAGTACCTGATAGAATGAAGAATAGTCGAGATCCAAACTATCCACACATCAGAAAAACCATATCCTTTCAAAGCATTGATAAAAAAAACTCCCAAGAGACTGAATCATACGCCTTCTTGATGTCTACTTACATGGCAATAGAAAGGTATCTAGGACAGTTAAAATCATTGACCATTTCATGAGCCATTATAAGTGCCTCCTGAATCCTTCTCTCTTTCACAAAAGCACACTGTTCAGGCCTTACCAACCTCTGAAGCACCACAACCAGTCTGTTTGCCATCATTTTAGTAATAATTTTATAGACCAAATTGTATAGGACTATAGGTCTGTAATCCTCAAGCTTTTCTGCATTACCCACCTTAGGAATTAATGTAATGAAAGAACTACTCATCCCCATAGGCATATGACCACTTTGAAAGAAGTGTTGCACTGCTTGAAGGACATCCTTATCCACAACAGACCAGAAAGTTTGATAGAAACAGGCTGGGAATCCATCTGCCCTAGGGGATTTATCAGGATGAAATCCCATAACCACAGCCTTGACCTCTTTTACGTTAAAGTTGAAGAGAGAAATAGAAAATGAAGCACGCACAAAGCCAAAAGGGCTACATCATCTTTATTTATTATATTCTCTCTTCAACTTTAACATGGTATCAGAGCAATGATCCTAGATCGTTTGCATTTATTGGCTTTGTTCCGACCCACTTTCCCGGCTTTGTTCCGGCCATTTCCCCGGCTTTGTTTTGGCCTTTTACCAGCTTTGTTCCAACCCATTTCCCTGGTGTTGTTCCGGCCATTTCCTCAGTGTTGTTCCGGCATTTCGGATGCTTTTTGCTCCACGACCGTTTTCAACTATTTTCCGGTGTTGTTCTAGCCATTTCCACGGCGTTGTTCGGACCTTTCGGATGTTTTTCTCTCCACCGTCATTTTTAAGGTTTAATCTCCAAACTCAAGTTGGCTTTGGGAAACCCATCTTGACTTTGTGGGAGAATATTGAGATAATATATATTATACATATATATTATATTCTGTTTCCTTTTCCCTTCTTTCCTCCTTAAATTACACATTGACAGAATATTTGATATGAGAATATTATAAGATAGATTTTAGCCAACAATAGAATATTGATTGAAGTGATTTATGGTATTGATTTAATTAATGTATTTTCCATATTTATCATCTCTATTCTTTCCTCTATAAATAGGGGTGATCCATTCTATACAAAGATTAAGAGAGAATATAATTAATAAAGATGATGTAGCCCTTTTGATTTTGTGCGTGCTTCATTTTCTATTTCTTTCTTCAACTTTAACATTTTATAGGTAACAACCCTATCCACCAACTCATTATCCTCTTGGTGTAACACTATATTTGAACCATCAGACCTCTTAGCAAATAACTTTTGGTAGAAATCAACAAACAGTCTCTAATAGTGTTGGGATTAATAGTAACTTGACCATCCTCATTTTTAATAGAAAGAATTGCATTGAAATTCCTACGGCAAAACACCTATCATTGTCCCTTGACCAAAACACTCTGGATTTCTGGGCAATCAAAATATCCTGATCTTTAGCAGCAGCTTGATAGACTTCTCTAGCTTTCTTTTTCAACTCAAAAACTTCCTCTGAAGGATTACTTAACAAGTTTAACTAAGCCTCTTCTAGATGGTGTTCCCACATTCCCATATATATTCTTATTCCATTCCCAAAGAAAGCATACATTCCTTAGACACCAAATTTTAAAGAATGGAATAAGAATATACATGGGAATTTATACTACCCACATTCCCATGTATATTCTTATTCCATTTCTTTTTCGTTTGTTTTTGGCAGTTCTTAACTCAGCCGAGTGCTTGTCTGGTAAAAACTTGAAGATTGGAGTGGTTTTGTCAGGAGCCCAAGCTCCTGGAGGACACAATGTAATCTCTGGGATCTTCCGTGAGGATCTTAATACGCTATATCAGTTATCCGTTTGGATCTAATTTAATTTGGATTGTTAGTGATTTTAATATCTTTTTGATGTCTGGTAGATTACTTGCAGGATCGTTGCAAAGGAAGCACACTATATGGATTCAGGGGTGGACTTTCTGGGATCATGAAATGCAAATATGTGGAGTTGAACTCGCAGTTTATTTACCCATATAGAAATCAGGTTAGGACCCCCATTTTTTTTTTAAGTATAATTTGTAGTTTTTTTAATAAATTAGAACTAGTTGGCTTGAATATTCTCTCTCTTGTCTGAGTTATTTGTATATCCATGATCTCTGTTTGTGTATATTATCTTTTGACATGCTGGACAGACTTCAGTCATGAGTAGTTTTGGTTCAAATTCAATATCCTAATACATTTTGTTTGAAAATAAAGGGACAACAGTACAAAAAGTGAGCAATGGATTGGCAGGGACATAAACCCAGCTCAAATAATCTATTTGTATTTCTTTCCACCAGGGTGGCTTTGATATGATCCGTAGTGGAAGAGACAAAATTGAAACCCCAGAACAGGTGATATTTCTTTTGGCTTCACAAGATATTGCGCGTAGTGATTCTTTTAAATTAGGACAATAGTAAATATATTTTACTCTTATGATTCTTGTAAATTAACCTTTCAAAGTTGAGTCTGACCAAGTTCACATGTACCCGATTTCAGTTTCAGCAAGCTGAATAAACGGCATTAAAACTTCATTTGGATGGGCTTCTTGTAATTGGTGGGGACGACTCGAATACAAATGCTTGCCTCCTTGCCGAAAAATTTAGGTCAATTCTTTATTTTCTATATCAAAACTCTGGTTGTTTTTTGTTTTAATTAAATTTTACTTTTGTGTTCTCTGAATTTTTGAAAATCGGATTATTGAATTGTACTTTCTGTAGTTGTTATGCACTCCTCCTGGTCTGACATTACTTGTTGCATTGTATTCAGGAGTAAAAATTTGAAAACTCGGGTGATTGGATCCCCTAAGACCATTGATGGGGATTTGAAATGCAAAGTTCATCGAAAGCACTAATGAGCAATCGAGTAATTTGCGAGTCTCTCTTTTTTTTTTTACTATTTGAAGCATATCCTTAGGATTTTAGACATTAAATATTCTTTTATTTCTATTGAGACATAGTTACACTCATAAATGCATTGTAATTTTTTTTTTTTTTTTTTTTTTTGACTCTATTGTGGATTGGGTTTATTTGGTTAGTAAATTTGGTTTATGAATGGATTAATGATGATTATAAAAATTTTATTTTATTTTTTTAAAATTGTTTCACTTAAATATATTATTATAGCCTTTAAAAATAAGTGTCTTTATAATGGACTGGATTTGTTTGATTAGTAAATTTGATTTATGAATGGATTGATGTTTATTATAAAAATTTGACTTTTTTTAAAAAAAATTGCTTCATGTAAATATATTATTATAACCTTTAAAAAGTAAGTGTCATTTTTCGCAGCATTTATACAATTGCGGCCATGCCTATCGCGACCCAGCTAATGACAGCAAATAGAAATGTTGCCAAGTAGTTATGGCAGTATTTTTTTATTTTTATTTTTTTACTTTTGACAGCAAATAAAAATACTGTTAGAGACCATAATTGTTGTAGTGTCTTTGTCGGATTTGCGCTCCATCCGATCCAATTGTTGTTTTTGAGTCTTCATGGCTGCCCAAAGGGCCTGCACTCTCCGATCATCGTCACGAGAGTGGTTGCTACCAAAACGAGCAATCGTCATCAAACCAGGGTACAATATGACTTTGACGAAGATTATCTTAAATCCACAAGATAGGTAGTTTAAATTCACAAACTAAAAGAAAATTCATGAAGGAATATGATATTTTATAGATAAAATTGATTGAATGATTGAATTTTTCTTTTGCATTATATGTATATTTATAATAAAAGTAAACCCTAAAATTATAAAGGAAATTAATAACAAAAAAGAAACTAATTGCTTAAGGAAACTAAAAATATAAGAAAATTACCTAAAACTAAAATCTCTCTAAATATATAAAATAAAAATAAATAAATAAACCTAATTTTAAAAATACTAAAATCCGTCCTACATCATTAACCTACAAGTTTTGATTGTTCGTGTATACAAAATATAAGGAAGTAAAACGTTCACTTTTTAAAATTTAGTAAAGATGATCAATCAAAAGTTATATCACTACTCTTTGTGAAGATGGAGAGATTAGATATTTATTTATTTATTTATTTTTCCCTCACGATTTTAGTCTTACTTTTTAAGAAGACAAGCATTTATGATGCGTTTGGTGTGCAAGAATAGAATGAATGTCTATTTTAACCATTCACTTGTTTGGTATGCAATTTAAAGTAGAAATGGCCATTCTGTTAGATTGAATGAAAGTTTATTCCTGAAAATGAAAATCCATTCTACAACTAAACCTGTAGAATGAGCATTTCATTCCCAAGTAAAGTTTTCTTAAAAATTAAGTTTCCCAAAAAATCTTCATGTTACAAGTTCAAAAACTATCACCACCACCATTGCCTTCCACCACAACCACTGCCGCCTTTCACTATTACCACCACTGTTACTACCACACCCACCATTGTTGCTGCCTTCAACCACCACATTACCACCTCCATTGCCTTCTACCATCGCTACCTCCATCGCCGCCGCCACCACTATTGTCTTCCACCACCGCCACCTTCATTGTTGCCACCACCACCACCAACTTCCCCAACTACCACCACCACTACCACCTTCGACCATCACCACCATTACTGTGATACCCCTCGATTCTAGAGTCACGGGTGATCAAGTCCGAGCACAGATACAAGGGATACCAAACAATTAAGTATATAAACAAGCATTTGAATACAAAAATAATAATAAATAAATAAATAAATAGTAAGCTGAAAGAAACTAAATAATAAATCCTTATTTTACAATCCTCAAATAAATAATAATTAAAAATTTAATAATAAAATCCTCCAATCCTCGGATACTAATAATTAATTAAACTACAACCCGGGAATCCATATTGTAGACCCCTAATAATATCCTAACTGAAATAACTGAACTAAAATAAAACTAATAATTAAACCATGAAGAAGAATGATGAGCGCTGAAAAGTGCACATTTAAACCCCTTAAGCTTGGGTGTTCTAGAACCTTTATTTATCTTACTTTCCCACTTTAGATTGATTTTGTATTTTTCTATTTTCAGGTACTTATCCCCAAAATAAGCTAACTCAGCTAAATAAGAGCATAATTGAAGCAATCTTGAGATTAATCAAAGAAAAGAGCAAAATAGGAGCAAAAGGAAGCAAGTGGTGGAAATTCAGCATGTTCAATCAATCTCAGAAAATATTAGATCGATCGAAAGTTTATCGATCTCAGCATTCTAAGATGGATCCAAGCTCTTTTGTCCTTATCCAAAAATCTCACAAAGTTTGATCGATCTAACTTTCTTTCGATCAATCAAAAAGATTCCATCTTATCTACTTGTACCACCCTACCTACCACATTTGTCTCTATCCCAAAAATATCTTCAAAATATCTTAGATTTGTTTTTATCCAAAAAGGCACCGCCATAGAGGATTGATCCAGCTTAAATTCGATAGATCTCAGCCATGTTCGATCGATCTCACCACAAATTCGATCGGTTGAACTTCCCAAAGCCTGAGAAAATCCAATTTCTAGCTCATTAAAAGTTGTCTCATATCCAAACATTAGAAGGAATATTGGTGTACAAGCCCAGCTCATTTGGGGTGATATTTAACCTACCTATATAAGGAATATGAGCCAATCTTGAGAGCATATACTTGATAGTAGATACATACATTAGAGACACAATTTCCATATTCTTAGAGAGGAAAAGAAGAAAGGAGGAGGTTAGAGACACAAGCTTGGAGTTCTTCCATCAACCAAGAAAAGGAGCAATCTCTACTATAGAGTTAGCCCTTGAGGGTTAGAGGACATCATCCATGAGTGGCTAGACATCCTCTTGGGGTTAGAGTTAGCCCTAAGCATGCTTTCTATATCTTGATTTATGTATTTTTTAAGGGATTTGTAATGTGATACATGTTTCGACACTTTTATATATATAGATCTTATTTATTCAATGATTTGTGTGGTTTAATGCTTCCAATTGATCATTTCATTCTATCCATATGTCTATGTATGCTAGAATAGATGTTCATCTGTTTATCTCAATTTTTTTTGTTATTGATGCATGTCTATGTGTATTAATACTCTAGATATTGTCAAGACATAGTGCATGCTTAATGGAATGCTCTTGTAATTTATTTGATTGTTCATACTCATTTCTTGATGGATTGTGCCTCTCCCTTAGTTTAATTAGTTTAATTTCATGTCATTAGCTTAATTGTAATGTAGTTGTAGTTTAGATGTTAAATGGGATGACAATCCATGCTTATTGTTTGATGTTCTATACTTATGAAAGCAAGTAGCATATATCTCTAACCTTGCGATGTGTTTAGATTGTGAGCTTAAAGGAAGGATTAATGGCTTAGTTTGATATATTGTGCTATCCACCATGTTGCTTAGACAATATATGCTTAATTTGTCATCCATACTTGTTGAAATAACCGCACACACATTATGTTGCAATACATGTTTTTCCCCCTCATTAATCATTCAATAAGGGTGTAGAAAAGCTATGCTTAGTGGTGATCTCTAAACCCCAAGATCTCTCTCTTATTTTCTCTCCATTACATTTAATCATTTACTTTGGTTTAAATTGCATCTTAGTGTAATTCAACCACCAACCAATCTTTTGATCACTCAACCTACTAACCTTAATCTCAATTCCAAAACCTAGTACGACCCACCAATCCCTTGGGACTATCCTTACTCACCCTAACTATATTTTTTGTGAAAGGTAGTAGTGGCAATTTCTAAATATAAAACTTGGCCACATTCATCACAGCCCTACACCATTATCTTTTGGTGTACAAACTTTGGATTTGGGGTGCGACCCCCGAGACCACCAAGTTTTTGGCGCCGTTGCCGGGGATTGATTGAAGGCAACATCGTATTTGTGGAATCAATTAGGAATTAGTACTCTTTTGATCGTGCCTTTACTTTGTTTTCATTTTGGTTACTTATTGTGTTGGTTCTTGTTTGACTAGGTGCATTGAAAAGAAGGTGAGCAAAGGAGCATTTCAAGCAAAGAGCTAAGCAAAAGCAAGGAAAATGATAAAATGTAAAAAATTTGTAAGGCTAAAATTGAAAATTAAATTGAAGTGCTAAAGGACCCTTTGTGAGCTCTTTCTTAACTCAATCTTTAGTTAAATCATCGGCCTGCGTGGAGGCTTATATTTCAATTCTTAGATAAATCGTAAACCCACGTGGAGGCAATTTACTTTTCTTTGCATATTGTTGATAGCATGGGAGTATGGGAACATTGTATGTGGAGGAAGTTTGTTGATTGTTGATTTGTTGCGAAGGTGAAGTGTTTGTTCATTACTTGTTGCTTGTTGTGTTTTGTTGTGTATGCATGGTCGTAGATCATTGAAACCTACTATTGTCCCTCTAAATTTTCATCTTGAATCCGTTGTTCGAAACCCTAGGGGAAGAGGAAGTTCTAGTCAATCCATTTTATCAATGGAAGGACATAATGAGGACCACGTGGAGGACCTTGGTCATATAGACCAACAAGACATCCTCCACCCAAATGTGCATCATGATAATATGCAAGTACCATTAAGCATATCGAGGCCATTCATTCACCCACCACAACAACAAGGCCAAGTCCTATTGGGAATGCCAAGGCCAATCTATGCTCCACTACCTCCCATCATTCAAGGCAATCAAGGTGCCCATGTTGCATCTCCAATTGCTAATCCTCCCCTTGCTTTAAGAGATCACTATGTGCCTAATGAATACAATGCACCCACATGCATTCAATTGCCATCATTTAGAGCACACCACTATGAGATCAAATCACAAACCATTCAAATGCTTCATAACTATCATGGACTTCCAAGTGAAGAACCTTACAAGCATTTGGATGAATTTCTTGAAATATATTCCACCATGAGATACACGGACATGCCGGAAGAGGTCTTAAGGCTTAAACTTTTTCCATTCACCCTTAAAGACAAGGCAAAATATTGGTTTAACAATCTTAGGCCTTTTTTAATAACTTCTTGGGCAGAAATGCAACAAGTGTTCTTGAAGAAGTACTATCCGGTTTTTAAAACCAATGCCATGAGAACCTCAATTCGAGAGTTTTCACACGGGGATGGGGAAACGTTCCATGAGGCATGGGAAAGATTCAACGAATTACTTAGGAAGTGTCCACATCATAACATACCCAAATGGCAATTAGTTCAATATTTCTTTGAGTGCTTATCGGACAATTATAAGGGCATGGTTGATGCTTCCATGGGTGGC